TCTATACTTTTTTGAGTTTCATATCTGAACAATCAAATATGCGAGTTTCCTACCTAAACCATTATTAGATATTTATTAAAACACACCTCAATTATTATTTATAATTTTTCTTCCAAAAGTTGATACAAAAAAGGAAAAAAAGTAAATTAATTGCAGTTACCCATTTTCTTCAAATAGCAAAATATAAGAACATACACATGAGGATTCTTGTTCCACAAAAATGGACAATAAATAAAGTAGTAACCAAAAAAATAAATATACATGGTAGTGACCAAAAATAGTGAAACAAATAAAATAAGTAGCTGACTAGGAAAACAAAAGGTAGGTCCCAACAAATTATACAGGGTTCTGATTGGCTGAAACGCGGCGGGCGGCGTATACACAAAAAAAGAGAGAGTATATATAATGGACCTTAAAACCTCAACAAAGTTCACAATCCACTGTTCGTAGGCCTAAAACCTTATAGCGGCAAGCGTAAAAAAGTCCATTAGGGTTTTGAGCTTTGAACATCAAAAAGTTCAAGGCTTTCAAGCCCATCTTGTTCTTCGTCTTCGTCTTCTCCCTCCAGAAAATATTATTGAATTTACGATTAAAAAAGTAATCATAAACGATAAACGATAAACCCTAAACCCTGCGACTGCGATACAAACAGAGGTTTTTGATTCAGCATTCGTTTGCGAAGTTGTTTAAAGTAAGTTTTTTTTTAGTTTTGGTTGTGGAATTAGTTAGTTTCGTTTATGTATGTGTTGTTTATCCGATTTTTATGTGTGTATAATTTGAAAGTTACAAGATTTTCATGTCCTTGTTTATTCATTCATTCGAATGTATCTTTTCTCTACATTCCGATCGTTTTGGATTTCACCTTTTTTATTTGTTTTTGATTATTTTTTTTATTCTGGGAAGCGTGTTTTGTGCACCTGAAAAACCATGATGTAAATTGGGGGTTGCCATTCGGTTCTGTAAAGTGGCATTCTGGGCTAGAAGAGTATATGAACTAGAATGAATTATGCTGGGAAAAAAGAAGTATGCTTTCTTGATATGATCTAGTTCCTTTTCTCATGTACTTAGGGAAGTTTGTATCATGGGTATTGAGTTTCATTGGAAGTAAGACCATGATCACCTAGTCCATGTAAGGGTGTAATGTTGAGCATTCCTAAAGGAATCTGTTAAGGAACTTGATATATCTGGGCACCCAAGTGTGTGGCCACGAGGTCTCAGAGACATTGGGATTTGCCTCAAAGGTTCCGTTTTCCAAAAGTGGGAATACCCTATATAACTCATGAATAGTGACAATAAGCACCTCCCCCCACAGAAAGAGAGAGAGAAACAGTTGTTTGCTACTTGTCAATCAGACGATTGAGCATGCTTGCCCCCCA